GCATCGCTACTAGGAGCAAGGACGCTACTAGGGGCTCCTGGCCTTACTACTAGGAGCAAGAAGCTACTAGGAACAATAAAATAAAAGCTTCGATATATACACTCTTCACTGGTGTCTTTCAATGTCTCAGTGCCCCACCAGGATAGAGTCCACTTTGAGCGTCGGATAAACACAGTCCAGAATGCGTACATACCTCAGCGTGGGAAAGACTAATCACTCCAAAGTGATGTCGCGATGAGGTTGGCGCTCTTCCAAGTTTGGTGGGATCTGATCAAGATCCGTGTAGCAGTGGATAACCTATCATCTCAGGTTGAGGACATGTCAGAACTGCTTGGGGAGCACATGCTCCGGGCTTAAACCGAAATATGCCTGGGTTGGCAAAAGCCTAAAGGCGGCGATGAATGCAAGACGCTTTGTGTTTTGAAGATAGGGACTTGTGGATGGACATGCTTGCAACGTGGGTTCTTCCACAAAGTACTAGTGCACCCTCAGGGTCTCTTGAAGTGGACAAGTGCTGCGTTTTGTCAACTCTTCAAATCCATTGGACAGTAATGCATCGCTTTTTCATGTTTGGACCTGTTCTTAGTTCGTTTGGCTTCAGGCACACACCCTCAGGCGACTCAGACTGTACAAATACTGTATATATGGAAAATGCAGAGCCATTGGTACGGATTTGATCAGCCCCCGCAACCAACCGGAGTCTCACTTGCTTAAACCGGGAGTGGAGCGTTGGGAACCCTAACTAACAACCCCTAATCCTACATGGCGCTTGTATGATCGCTTCATCGCCAGAAGCAATGTGGCAGGATTTTAATCATGGCAGAATGTCACGAATAGACAATTTAAAAAGTGATTTGACCGGGTTACAACATCTTAGCAAAGCGGCTAGTGTGGTGGATTGCACTTGCAACTGTTTACCCTCGTTGAAGCTTTCTTGTTCTTTTGAGCCGCACCTCTGGCGACTGCCACCGGAGTAGCAATATTTTTGGACACAGCCCCATAGATTCAAGCTGCAATTGATCTTGAATGCATGAAGTATGCATATGATCCTTCAACAACAGACCTTGTGCAGCAAGTAATCCATTCGATACTCATTTACAGTAATAGGAAAACGCAACCTGTACAGTAGATATCCAACGACAGTGCAGTGGGACAATGGGAATCAGCTCCAGAAGAGGAGCCAGGTATCTTTTGTATTCTCATCTGGAAACCGCAGAAGCAGCATGCAAATCTAAAGCTAAAACTGCAGATCGCAAACACCAAACACTTCCTCAACGCAGGGTCTCTGTTCAAACAACACACGAAATAAAGAAACTGTTCAACAACTGTGTTTGCAAATGCTAGCTGCTAGCTCAATACCGTTATCTCAAACATGCTTGATCGCGCAAACTTGCAGGGCTAGGCATTTGTCTTGACTTGAGGGAGAAAGCGATTAACAATTGTCAAAAGCCTGCGTCTGATAGCTACTCTGAGCTCTGTCTATATTAAGTGGAGTAGCTGCCCAAAACACATCGTTGCTTTATCAAGGTTGGCTGCATCAGACCATGAGACATCTGATGTCACCACTACTTACAGCTAGTGTGAAGAAACTCTGCCGAGCGCGATTGCAAGGCAACTACAGTCAGGCAAGGCCTTTCCAGGGAACCAAGAGTAGCCGTTCTATTTTTTGCCGCTGCTCAATTTGTATATCAATCTCTATTGGGCTCAATACAGCAAGTAAAAGCTGCAGTGCGTGATCTGCGGGCCTTAACCCATCGTGCTTCTTCATTTTGCTCGATGTATTGGAGGGCTCGATTAATCTGGCTCATGCTTGCACGCTTAGTAAAGTACCTTGGAATTCAAGTGCAAAACAAAGCCATGGTGTGCAGATACAAGGCACCTTTTTGTGTTGGCAAGTGTTCGCAAGCAAGCATGCAAAGCTCGGGCGACAACACAACGCCCTGGTCTTGCAAGTTCTTGAGCTTTTGATGAGCCCACCTTTGACAAATAATTCACAACATGTCAAATCATGCGCGAACTGACTCTTGGATCCTGAGGCATCAGCTCTTCAGCGACTCTTTTGTGTACAAACCATTGAATGATGAATCGAGCCACCTCTCAAAGACGATAAATCGCTAACACTCAATTTGCTCCGTCGTGCTCGTAGGTGCGCACTGTGCTGCATGTTCATCACACCACATAATTGTAATCGCGCCTTTGAGTGGCTCATCAATTGAAGAAAGCTCTTGAAAATTGACACCCTGGCAAAGGTCAGCATCACCTTAGGCAAGGATTGGCAGGGGAAAGATCTGCACTGCAAGTCCAAGCCGTATAACTCTCTGCTGGCATCTAGGTTGCCATTGTTGTGGTGATGCCGTAGTAGATGTAGAAGTATGTCAGCATCTGGAGGTGAGACGCCGTCAGCTGGTCAAAGTTGCGACAACTCAACTTTTACGAGTTACTAGTCACTAGTCTCACTCTGCCTTTTTAGGCTTTTGCTACAAATTGTAAAGTTGAAACTGTGCCAAGAAAGGCAAGGTATTTCTTTGAGATACTTGGAGCCTTATGCTGTTGTACCGCGAATTCAGCTGTCCCGGAAACCGACGAAACCCACGCTGTTTGGGTCTCCCAAGCCTCCGGATGAAGGAGTACTACTGCCGTGAAGGCACAACCTGGCAAAAATAGGAACAAGTGCATCGCTACTAGTAACAAGTGCCTTACTACTAGTAACAAGAAGCTACTAGTAGCTATTTGCTACTAGTAGCAGTGAGGCACTGGTTTCTAGTGGCGATGCACTTGTTACAAGCTTGCTGATTTTTTGCAAATTGAGCACTGATGTGCACTGCTCTCTCTGTTCACTTCCCGTGCTTTACAAAATCTCGAGACATAATGTTAGCAAAGGCTGGATAATGCTGGATACATCATCATCCTAAATCTTTGCCTCTAAAGCATGGCGTTGGGGTCATCAATGATTGATGATGATCCCCGAGTCAAAAGTCATACAGTAGGTCCTGTAGGTCAATCAAACGCTTTTCCCGTCGTTCAGTTCCTGCAGGTGCAACCGCTGTTAGTATCCAGCCCTCTGTATCCATTTGTGAATCCAACATCAGTGCAAAGTGTTAGACTACAGGAAGCATTTCCAGCGAGTGCAGCAAAATATCAACATATCAACCTCGCCCCCCCCACCAACTCCGTTTTCTGTGGACAAAACCAAAACCAACAAACACAGTTCATTTCTGTGTCCAAATCACGGTCAGCATTCTGCAAAATGTTAAAGTTATAGAATGCAAAGCACTCAGCAACCCACGTTAAGTTATTCCAAAAAAAAATTCCCTGCATTGTTGCTTCAACCATGCTACACTGGCAACTGCTCACAAGCAAACACCCTGCTAGGTCGATCCAAGCTAGCCGCGGCGACTCACCAGCAGCAAGCCGCACACCTACAAATTTGAAAAAATATGTTTCGGATCTTCTCTCACAAGAGGATTGGCCAAGGGCCCTTGACTAAGCTTCACGCAAAGAAGGCAGGATGCGACTTAATCTCACGTGGCCTTAGCCAAAAATACGGTGCACATTGTATGTGTGTGCTCCGTTGAGGCTCCGTTCATGAAGCATGGAGCCAGCACTTGGTCTGTGGAGCGAGCAAAGTTGGCCGGTTGATTTTCAGCCAAAGTCCACAGAAGGCGAACAAACCCATCACCAGCAGGAAAGAAATGGAGTAGATCGCAGCTAGCCTCAAACATGTGAATTTACATGGCGAGCCTAATGCTTGCTTTGGACACTGCTCTGATGAATTGACGGTTTACCACACCAATCCAACTTACCTTTTTGACGGTGTTAGAGAGTCGCAAATGTTCATCGCCACACTCTTGGGATGCAGCAAAGTAATGTCTCCATCCAGCATGATGCACATCGATGAGCAAACCCCAAAAAAGACCAGGATCGTGTAATGCCTTGGCGTATCGGACTTTGTGAACTCATTTCCACAGAGCAAAACATGTCTTTACTTTACTCCGTGATTCTTGTACTTCCTTTAGTTTCTTTAGCCGTTCTTTTTTTCAGAACAGGGGACCACAATAGTGCGCATTTCTGTGCATTTCCATGCACTGCGTTGCTGCTTCTGCCAGCAGCAAACTTCATGATTGACCATTTGTATACAAGAGCATGCCTTTACCTAACCACATGAGTTCACCTGGACCAGAGATTGAAAATTGGTCCCCAAGCATTGGAAAGGTATACTGTAACAATTAAAAAACAAATACATGTTTGTGAAGCAAAGGCTATTGGGTCAATAGTCCGCCGACCCCTGCCTAGCTGACGCCTAGGCGGGGCGGCGCCGGGGACACCGCAGGGTGAAACAGTTGCCCAGGCCAAGCAGATCCGTCGTGGCGCCGCTGCCTTTTTCTGCCCAAGCAGATCCAGAGTGTGTCGACGGTGCCGTTTCTAGGTGTGGCCGTCGATTGCATTCTGCCTGAAAGGCACACCTCAGCTGCCAGGCAACTGGGACAGGCAACTAGGCATCGAAAGAGACGTGCCCGGCAACGTGCCAGGCGACGTTAGGGATTTGGGTGGCTGCGGCTCGCCCCTTTTTGGTGGCGTCGTTTGCCCTGCCGGAAACCCTGAGGTGCGGCTGCATTCTGCCTTATACGCACACCTCAGCTGTGGGCCAGGCAACTCGGCATGGAAAGCGACGTGCCAGGCAACTGCTTTATGGGCTCCCGAAGGCGATGGCTGCGGCCGATGGTGGAAAGCTGTGGCGAAGGAAATTGCCAGGAGCCTTGGGAGTGATCTGGCACATGCCAGGCAACTGTTTTATGGGCCCCCGAAGGCAACGTGCCAAGCGACGCGCCAGGCGACGTTAGGCATTTTGGCTGGCCGCGGCTCGCCCGTTTTTGATGTAGAATTAGATGGTGGAAAGCTGCGGCGAGGCAACTGTTTTATGGGCTCCCGAAGGCAACGCGCCAGGCGACGCGCCAGGCGACGTTAGGCATTTTGGCCGGCTGCGGCTCGCCCCTTTTTGGTGCTGCTTGGTAGCTGCTGCTGCTGCTGCTGCTGCTGCTGCTTGGTAGCTGCTGCTGCTGCTTGGTAGCTGCTGCTGCTGCTGCTGCAAATTATTTCAAATCTGTCAGATCAATCCGAAGAAAGATCAGTAGAGACAGCGCTGGGTTGCAAGGTGAGACTCCGCCAAACGTTGCCCGCGCGGCCCTGACTATCAGAACTACGGTTGTTGCCTCCATCGGATTGATCGGTTTGATTTCCGTCCTCACCGGAACCATTCGCAAGAGAACGGAGTTGGCTTGACGAGATTGGCAATCCGTTGTAGTAGTAGTGATAATGGTTGTTCACATGGTTGTGATGATGGTAGTGCTTCTCGACCTTTCCATGGTACCAGCGCTTCTTGTAGAAGTGTTGGTGCTTGTGCACATGAACTGGACGGTTGCCAACAAGATCTGCATCTCGTGAACGGCCATGGTTCTCACCATCGAACTCATTGTGCACAGTAGGTTGAACTAGGTCCTCTCCGCGTGCCTCAGCCTCAGCCTCCGCTTCGGAAGCTTCTGCGGTGTCCATCTCCCACGACCCAAGCGAAGCAGCGTCATCTGCAGCCATTGGAGAAACAAGAAGCTACAAAGCGAAAGTAATCCGCAGTCAGACAACTGACGCTGAAACAAAACTGCGACCGCAACAAATAAAACAGAAATAAACATGAACAAGAACAATACAAATTCCATCACATTCCAGAGCGAACATATGTGAAATTACCGAAAGTCAAATCAAATCATGTGGCATCATCTTATATCATCTTGCACATCGAAGAGCAAAGGAACGATAGGGAAAGCAAATGAAAGATAACGAAAGCAGTGTTTTCTTTTCTCACGCTTCCTGAGCAAGGTGCACTCCGGGACAGGAATGGAAACGGTCCCCTGCGTCTGTCTATCAGGGTATCCCGGAGCATTGGTAATGAAGCTCGCGTGGGACTTCTTTCACACACATTTGATCAAGCACTTCATGCTTGCTGTGTTAAGATGTACCAAATTTGCCATGCCCTAAACAAAGCGGTCACAAATCTGGATGGGTAGACAGCTGTTTCAGCCAAAGCCTTACAGCCATGAGAAGACCCATCTTCCTTCTGAACATAGTATTTTTTCTCGGTCTTTCCATTTGCCTTGGCTTTTTTAGCCTTGGCTTTCATTCTGGCGCGGTGCGCTTCCTTGACTTTTGCTGTCGCTTTCCTCGCAACCTTGCTGAGAGGAAGGTTCCCGAACAAGTGCGTCGGCTTCAGCAAATCATGGCCAAAGCATCCCAGCCAGGTAAGCGTTTTCTGCCATTGACCTCCTCTTGCAATCACAGAAAAGGTCTCTTGCTTGCTCGTCCATGACGAAGTCGGCTGTTCCAGTACCATTCGCACGAGTGGCCGAAACTTTTGGAGCAGGAGAACGAAAACCACCTAAGCGCAAAAGCAAGCTGCGCACAACTGCTACAACAGATCTCTTTGGCCAGTACATACGAAACCAATCGAAACCCCACATAGAAACAAACAACTTTCTGAAACCAATATGAGAAACCATATTCGCATAGATAATATTGGACAGCCGAACACATTGGAATGATTCATCTCCCTTCAATCGCGCTAGTGACCTTTTGTGTGTTCCTTGGGATATGCCTACAAAGAGGCTACATGGTGGCTGGAGCATCAGCAGGCCACAATCACAAAGCTCCATGCCCAGTCCCAACAACATCAAGAATCCAGAACGTGTAGTCACATCCTGCTGCTCGTCATTCTTGATGTCATAGCTTACGGATGGATACCCTCCAATCCGGAATCGACTAGCAAGCTTTCGAGAAGCTGAGAAGCAGTCCAAGCACATCCATTTGCGATCTCCTTCCCACCTTTCGCACCAAGATGTCAGAAAAGCCCATTCGTTTTCTGCATGAAACCACACAGCCTCTGGCACGCTGCTGCTGGCATCCAAGCTTGCCGATGGAGCTGCATCTACAAAGGCAAAAGCAGCAAGGAGCGCCAACAAAGCTGCAACTGCCGCCATGTCAGTACAATCACTCAAGAACACACAGGCAGGCAAACGGCTGAGGAGAGACTTCAGGATGTCGCAGGAGGTACACAAACAGAGAATATATATATATACATATATCATCGTATATCAATCTACTTTTAGTCTCCTCTAATTTGCAGGCCGGATGCTTCTGTTGTGTGCCGGGGCTCAAAGACCATGTTTGGATCCCAGGCCGACAAGCGAATGATCATGTGGGAGAGCATCGACCTGCAATGGCGCTTGATCAGTGTGGAAAATTATGGAACATATTGAAAGCACGTGAGCATTAAAGAACAAAAACTAAACTTTTCTGAACATAAGAGGTATACATTGCTTTCAAGGAACAGTATGTTGCAGGTTGTTCTCCGGGGCAGAAAATGTAACGGCCATTTGTTTTTACGAGTCTGACTGGCATGATGAACCAGGAGCAGCATCAAATAGTACGCCGTGCACGCGTTTTCAGCTAACTCCTGAGTTGAGAATGCTTTGCTGGATTGCCAAGGCGAGAAGACCAGGTTGAAGATGAATTGAAACAAATTCGCTCCCAAGGCATCCCACTCGCGCTGATTGCTTTGGCTCAAGTACATGGGGTTGAAGAGCCTTGCTGCTTCCTTGTCGCTCTGTGAATCCCTGCCCTGCGCAGAGTCTCTTGGCAAGCCAGCTCGAAGCAAAGGCGCCAGGCAAACGTGCAGGCCAAAGATGTGAAAAATACTTGAGGCCAGGGGGAGAGGTCGAAAGCTAGCCGAATCGCACCGGATGTACTAGTTACATAGTCGGCAAAGCATGTAGGGATTACATGTTTTGGGAGGAAGGTTGCTATGTACATACTTTGCGCTAAAGAATGTAAATGTGACATCGCTGACTGGGAAGGGTACATTGGAACAACCCGGGTGCACTCGTTGGCAGGCACGAAGATGCGTGATCGGCAAATCTGGGGGGTAAATTTACACTCCGCTTTTGTATGCCTTGAGTCGGAAAGAGGGGTAAGCATTTCTGACATCATACGGACTGTACATACACTAGGGCGTCCGTAGTGTAGGAGAAGCACGGGTAAAAGGTATATGGAATAGAGTGTCTTGAGGAAATAGCCGGTGTATGGTTATTGCAAATCTGGGGGGTTAATTTACCCCCCGCTTATGTATGCCTTGTGCTGGAAAGAGGGGTAGGCATTTCTGGCATCACAAGGACTGCGCATACACTAGGGCGTCCGTAGTGTAGGATAAGCACTGATAAAAGGTATAAGGAGTAGAGTGTCTTGAGGAAATAGCCGGCTTATGGTTATGGCAAATCTGGGGGGTAAATTTACCACCCGCTTATGTATGCCTTGAGCCGGAACGAGGGGTAAGCATCACAAGGACTGTGCATACACTAGGGCGTCCGTAGTGTAGGATAAGCACTGGTAAAAGGTATCAAGAATAGAGTGTCTTGAGGAAATAGCCGGT